CTCCTCCTTTTCCATTCGCTTAGCGTAGAATCGTCTGCGTCCATTTCTTCCCAGGCCGAGTTAGGTGTCCCCTCTGCTCCCGCCTTCAACCATCTCTCTGCCCACTGAGCCTTGCGGAGGCCACTATTCTTGGGAAACGTCCGTTGAGTGCCTTGTTGTTGTGTTTGTCTACGTCGCCGCCGTAGCTGTGAGGCTACCTTTGTGCATGCGTCGTCTAGCAGCTTTGCCATACCTGTTCTTTTCAGCCTTTGCTCGCCACGAAATATTCCAAGGTCGATATTTCAAGTATTCTTCAACAAGTATTCCAGGGTCAGGATCTAAAGCCAGTATCGAGTGAGAAGCCAATACATTCATAAGATATAGATAATCGAGCGAAGCGAGGACGGGGAGGTTTGGGGGCTTGTCCCCATAAATCAGCGTAGATGGTGATAATGGTGGTGGTAGTGGCCTTCGCTCCAGATTCCTTTCGAAGCATCGAGCAAAGTCAATGACAACAGTCTTGTATATATACTTAGGATCCGAGAATACTGACTGATATCCAGTACAAAGCTCAGATAATCCCGTCCCCCGTCCCCCGTCCCCCATCAAACTCCACCGTTAGATCTGCTGCCTCTTTCTCCTCAGCCACCATCGTCATCAACCCCACCACAACCAGAATCTCATGAACAGCACCCCCCAGGGACTATTTATTTTAGTTTCTGGCTCTACAGATTCAACCAAGTCCACAGCCCCCGTAGCTCAGCGGTCAGCGTTTGTCTTTGTCTTTCTTCAGCGTGTATTCTCATTCAGCGATGTATTTAAGACCAAGCGAAAGATGTCGGTTCGAATCCGACCGGGGTCATAAGACAATTCTTTTTTCTTTTTGGTTATCCATATATATATATATATATATATATATATTAATTTCCCAATCCTCAAAGACGATAGCTCCAACTATACTGTCCTCAACCATCCAAGACCTGGAATATCAAATTCTGTTTTTGCTGTCTTTTTTCCTTTGTTTCTTCTCAAAGTAGGAAGACAAAATTGGCAAGTTTTTGTTAGAGTGTTAGTTGGTTATATTAAGTGGGAAAACCAGACTTTTTGAAGTCTCGAAGGAAGCGTATCAGTCCATCAAACATCCTTTGTCTCATTAGATAAAGTCGGTTTCCCCTGCCATCAATCAGTCTGAGATTCCTGAGGCAACAGATATTTCCATGATGGGAGAAGATAGAGACGATCTGATCTTATCTCTCAGCCACCACCGTCGTCATCAAAAAGCCATAAAACCCACAAGAACCAGACGAACCGTGCTGCCCTCCCTCCCAGAGGAACGGACCATTTATTCCAAAAAGATGACACTCAAAATCCAACAATGGTCCAGAAAAACAAGTCCCCGTAGCGCAGTGGTTAGCACCTAAAGACTTTCAGCGTTTGATTTATCCGAACTACCTAAGACACCAGGAGACGTCGGTTCGAATCCGACCGGGGGACACACATAACAATATCTCTTTTTTTATTCTTGTGTTATCATCTTTCCTCTCTTTTATTATTTTCCCTTTTCCTTTTTCCTTTTTCCTTCTATATCTTATGATAGTAATCTCTATCGTTCTGGTATATGTTTTACTTGATTGTTTTCTTGATCATTATTTCCATGACTTTTTAGCAATATTATCATCTCAACTATTATTATATTTATTTAAATATTTGTTTTCGTTGGTCGTTATAAGCCGTTTCGTGTATTCTGTCTTCAATATCTTGGATGCATTCTCGAAGAAGGTTTGGGGATATTTCTGTTACGGTTTACCTTTTTTGCACTCAAACGGGTTTGCCTTTTTTTTTTTTTTTTTTTTTTTTTTTTTTTTTTTTTTGGGGGGGGGGGGGGGGCGCCTTCTGAACAGATATCTCTAAAGTTGAACAGAGAGTAAAAAAGTTGTCAAGTCTCAAGTTTAAAGAGGAAGTTGCCATGAGGTTGTTTCCGTCTTTGGTGCCAAGAACACAGTGCGACAATGTCGCCCTGCCAAAGAATCTGGAAAGCTTCACCCCCACCTTCACCACTCCTCCTCCCCGTCCCCCGCCATGAGCTCTGAATACTGAACCTTTTCAATCATCTCATGTTTTTTATAATCAAATTACTTTTACAATGGGCAAACCAACCGTCGACTACGCATTATACCTCGTCACAGATTCAACCCCAGCCATCCTGGGCAACAAATCCCTCTTCCATGTTGTAGAGGAAGCTCTCAAGGGTGGGGTCACCATTGTGCAACTCCGCGAGAAGACAGCCGATACTGGCGCATTCATTGAAACCGCAAGAAAGTTACTGGAAATCACACGCAAGTATGGCGTGCCACTTCTGATCAACGACCGGATCGATGTGGCTTTTGCTGTTGGGTGCGATGGCGTACATATCGGACAGGATGACATGGAACTGTCTGCCGCCAGGAAGCTGCTCGGTCCTGATGCAATCATTGGAGTTACGGTCAACAATGTAGCTCAGGCGTTGAAGGCTTGTGAAGGTGGTGCGGATTATCTTGGTATTGGCACCGTTTATGCTACTCCAACGTGAGTTTTCCCCAAGATATCTTTATAGCTAATATTTTCATCCTGACCATGACGCAGAAAGACAAACACCAAGGAAATCATCGGCGCTGCTGGACTTCGTAATATTCTACATGCCATTGACGAGGCAGGCTATGACACTCCATCCGTGTGCATTGGTGGCATAAATGAGACCAACATCCAACGAATTCTCTATCAAAGCAGGATCGACAAGAATCTGCTACAGGGCGTCGCCCTCGTCAGTGCCATTATTGCTGCTCCATCTCCCCGGGACGCAGCTGAGAATCTTCTCAAGCTTGTCAAGGGGCGGCCGCCATTTAAATTGTACGAGGCAAACAGAGGAGAGGAAGTTGTGAATTCTGATGGGATACGCAGCCTCGTACCCGTCATCATCAAAAAGGTCCACGAGACCACACCTCTTTCTCACAATATGACAAACTTGGTCGTGCAAAACTTTGCAGCAAATGTTGCCCTGGCAGCTGGAGCATCACCAATAATGGCAAACTACGGAGAGGAAGCTGCTGATCTATGCAAACTCGGAGGCTCTTTGGTTATCAACATGGGGACTGTGACACCTGAGGGCTTGTTAAACTACTACAAGGCACTCAGAGCTTATAATTTGGTTGGACGGCCGGTTGTATTTGATCCAGTTGGGTACATAATTCTCACATCCCACATCAAACCTCGTTTCCTTTTAACTGACAATAATATAGTGCTGGAGCCACTGCTGTACGACGTGAAGCCGTCAAGTCCATCCTGGCCAACGGCTACCTTGACGTGATTAAAGGCAATGAAGGCGAGATTAGGACTGTATTTGGCAACGACGAAGCGATTCAACAAAGGGGAGTTGATAGTACCAGCACCCTTGACCATTCCCAAAAGGTCATACTGGTTCAAAGTCTCGCAGCGAGGGAAAAGAACGTCGTCGTCATGACGGGTAAAGCCGACTATATTAGCGACGGCAAACGGACGTTTATGGTGGAAAATGGACACCCATATCTCGGTCTGGTGACAGGAACAGGATGCACACTCGGCACGACCATCTCCGCTGCTGTGGCCGTTTATCCAGAGGACAAACTAGCGGCTACCATCGCAGCTCTCTTACACTTTGAGATTGCTGCTGAGCTGGCTGCAGTCCAGCCGGAAGTCAAGGGACCGGGAACATTTGTTCCTGCCTTCTTGGATCAACTTTATGCCATCCGGTTGGCTACTGCAGAGGGTGATTTGTCATGGTTGGAAAAGGCAAAGATTCTCTCATGTTCATCTCTCTGAGTAGTAGTCATATATTATTCAGCGTTTTTATTTCGGCTTACAGTGGCCCTTCGGTGAATGGATTAGGGGTTGATCAAGATACGGATACATACTATTCCCCTGATTTGGTGTAGAAAAAGGGGGTTTGTAGGCGGTGCTTCGGACTTTTTTTTCATCATGTCATTCCATGTAACATCTGTTGGTCTTTCGTATATGTTAAGTCAGATAAGCTCAGCAGACACACGGTCCCCCGATTTTTCTTGAGATTTCCGTGGCAGGATTACGACAACAAAAAAATGTCTCCGGCCAGATAGATATTCACAACTGCCGATCTGCAGTCAGCTCACCAAAACAGCTCAATCAAAAATGCAAGAGACAGGAGTTTTTGTCGATCGGTTGGTTCCAGGCAAGAGACCGGAACACTTTCTACACATTCATTTGGTTCTGAAGATGAGTGCAGACTGCGGTTAATCCAAAGATTCTCCGACATTTGGGAATGACGAAATCTATCCGATCCTCAAGCATCGAATGTTAGGTTCAAAAGGTCAAGCTAGGGAAGGAGATCTTCAAGTCTATTTCCTAACCTAGAACTATAACAAACAACCCCGTGTTTCATATTATATTATATATACACTAGATATATTTGATACTATAGAACCATCGAGAAAGACATGACGGACAGACGAGAGAAAAGGCTAAAATAAAGACGACGATCTTACCTAACCCAGACATACCTACATACATAAATATCAGAAATTCTGTAACCGATGGAATACAAAACCACGAGTTGTAAAAGTATGGCTGGCTGGAAACTTGTTCGAGACCATCTCGTTTCGTAACAACCTGCATCTCAATTTACCACAGTGCCGGTAACCGTGGGAAGGATTTCTTTGGGACTTGGGAAATAACATACATACACAACAAGAGACACAGAAAGTCTAGAGTAGTAATGTAGTTACCCAAAAAGCCACAATATACTACCCTACACGCCGCAAGGTGTGTGTCCGATATATATCGGGCGAACGAACCACACCATCCAACAAATCCGGCCCGAAAAGGAACCCGCGCAAAAAGTGTCCAGATTCAGTGAATTTCTACAGATGAGGCTTTTTGTTTCAATATTATTAAATGAAAACCCAGATATCCCCCACATACACACACATACGCACACACACACACACACACACACACACACACACACACACACACACACACACACACACACACACATACACACTCGGCGGAACCGGAACCGGAACCGGAACCTGCATTCTTAACAAGCCACAATGATAACAGTAGGTATATCTTGCGAACTTGCGTGTTATTATTATTTTATGTATGGATGGTAAATATGTATATGTATATACCCCTACCCTTACCATAACGAACCCAACCGTGGATTCAGAAAGTGGCACAGTACAGGAGACAGACAGGACAGACAAGAGAGAAGGAATCAAGTTCAAAGGTACGGCGGCGGCGTGAAAAATGGGGGAGGGGGGGGACGTAACTTGAACGCGCGCGATCTGTCCCAACAACAGCCAACAGAATGATCTTGACGTCAATGAAAGGAAGAGAAAACGGACGAATCTATTCCGTAGTGTGTGTGCTTTTATGATTGCACGAGTGCGTTTAGTTATGCGTGGTATTTGAGTTGTAACCTTCAGTCCGTCAGCTCATAGGTAGCTTTCACCAACGATCTTCATCGACAAAATCGAAAAAAAAAAAAAAAAAACATGAGATGGGACGGAATTTGTTCATGATTGTATGATGCTGCATGAATCCTGTGTGTATACATACGTACCTGATGCGTGGCACTTGAGTGTAACCGTCAGCCTGTCTGTCAGCTTGAAGCTTTTTTTCACCAACGGATCTTTACGTCAATCAAAAAAAAAAACGAAAAAAAAAACGGATGAATCCAACAGATCTTCAAGATTATATAATACTGCATGAATTCCTCTTGTTATACGCGTGGTACTTGAGTGTGTAACCATCAGCTTTCTTCCCCAACCTCCAACAACAACCACGCCGTTCGCACCATTTTCTCACTTC